GAAACAGGAGAGTGATGTGTTTATGGTGATTCCTGGTAATGTGAAAACAGACTTCAGTGAATCTGGATTTAAACAGGAACAAATCATCCTTCAAAACACTTCTAAAAGTAGCGTTCCAGATAGGGAATATGCAATATTGGAGGCTCTGAGTCAAGGACCAATGAAATGCCAAAGAAGAGACATTAAAAAAATAGAGGTCACAGCGACAGTACTGAGCAGCAAGTTAACAATCCCAAGATCAAAAATTGTACGTTTGCCAAGTGTATAGTAAGGGTTTCCTTTCAGCAGTCAATTATAAGAGAACGCACTTTGGGGAGAAACCTTTCCCATGTCTGACCCCTGGAAAAGGTTTCAGTATAAAACATACTTTGGTTGTTCACACAATATTTCACACAGGTGAGAAGCCTTTCAAATGTCAGACCTGTGGAAAAACCTTCAGACTGATGGGAACTTTGGTCACTCACACAAGAACTCACACAGGAGAAACACTTTTTAGATGTTCTGTGGAAAACATTTCATTGTAACATTTCATTGGCATTGTGGGCACATATCACTCTGAGCAAATTAAAAAATATATATAAAATAAATCCCACTCCTTGACTCTGTACCTCGCATCAAATCAGATCCACTGCTGTGCCTAGTACCATTTAAGTTCATTTTAACCACTTGGACGTTTTATAACTGACATAATACAAGACCATGCCATAACACAGAAATAGGCTAACCCTGACTGGTTGGCCAACAATCAGGGCTGGAAACACAACCAGTAGAAGCTAAATGCTACTGAAGCAGTGCCTTATTCTGCTTCTTTACCTGTAGCGATAGCCATCAAGAATTTCATCTCTGACACAATCAGGTACTGCATGTCGCGATCCTGAAAAGCACAAAAATGTTCCTTTATTTCGCAAGTACTGATAAAATAAACAAGTGATGGTTTAAAGTGTAACGAGATGTAAACTCACTGGAAAGTTAGAGGTCCCTGCGCTGAGGCGGTGTGCTTGCATATTGAGGGCAGAGCAGCTAATGTGTTGGAGCAGGAACATCTAAAACCTTCAGGACTACAGGCCTCATGGACAAAGCATGGGTGCCAATAATTGTGGTGCACATCCTCCTCACACTGTTTGAACAGAAATACCAAGATGCCCATTTATTATTTAATTAAAAAGCATTGGGGTCTGTTAAGTATTGTCCTGGGAATACCAGCCCAATATGGCGGTGGTATTAGGACAATAGATGATTGAGTGACTCGAGCATTGGCATTATTGAATAGCAAAATCTGCAGACATGGAATAAATTCACAACTTCTCCTTAAAATATAAGATTTTATTATTAGAAAACATTCAACTCCAAGTTAACCATTTCAATTAAACTCTTCACTAGGCTTCATCTAAAACTACCAAGCAAATTGAAGGAGACTGATGAACTATGTACAACAAAGGAACAAGGGAACCAATAACAGTGATGCAATGATATGACAGTTCAATGTGGAATCATGTTTAAGATCCAAGGTTTATCTTCAGGAACTGAGAAATTAAGTCAGATTAGTTTTACACCAAATTAAGAACAATAATCAGTATGTCTTCAAATAATCAGTCACAATGCAAAATCAGAGGAATAGATAAAACATACATTTCATAAAACAATATTTTAAAGAGTGATTTGATTAATTAGAAATCAACATCTTTGGATAATTCTAAATGATATTTAATTTGCCGTCCTTATCTCAGTGAAATATTTAAATAAATATTATTTATTAGATTAAAAAACCAATAAACCTGATTCTAAGTGTTTACTTTGCCATCCATTTATAAGGAATATCTGAGGAAATATTTGTTGGATTATAAACCAATAATCTTTTGACAATTGATTTTAACTAGCCATCCCATAGAGTAATGGACTACTAACATGGAGGAGAGGAACGCCTATGGACTCACAAGATGGCGACGAGTCGGATGTAAATATATGATCAGCTTGGAACTAGCATTAGCTGTTAGATGTTTTAGCTAAAAGAGGAAAACTTATAGCTTGTTCACCATTTCTTTAAGCTCAAACATGTACCTTTACCTACCATTAATATACATATTAATGTGCATATGAGTGCTGGCGGCGCATTATGGCCGATCTGTGTTTAAAATCACCCATTAAATAAAGTTCGTCATAACTTTAACTTGAAACAGAACTTGAAACAAATACAGCAAGTAGCAAGTAGTCAAGGTCTAAAGGTCTGGTGATTTTAGCAGAGCAGATAGCCTTTTAGCAATCAAAATAATTCAACCTTTAGAACCAGACACAAAGCAAAACGTCATAAAATAAACAATATTTAGGTTTTTTCATCCTAAACTACTGTTTTCTGCCAAAACACAACCTCTTACATGAACCAACCTGAAGAAAAAGGACGGGAGGTCCAAAGGGCGCTGGTTTAGCAAAGTTACAGCTACAGACACCTATACCACAAGTATGACATGGGAAAGGTTTCTATTTTATATGAGTTCTAACATGCTTAGTAAAACTACTTTTATGACAAAAACGCTTTCCCCAGGTTATACATGAGAAAAGCTTCTAACCTGTATGAGTTCTCATGTGGCTTTCCAATCTAACTTTACAAATGAAACCTTTTCCACATGCTGTACATGAAAAACGCTTCTCACCTGTGTGAGTTCTCATGTGGTTATTCAAACTACTTTTACGAGTGAAACCTTTTCCACATGTTATACATGCAAAAGGTTTCTCACCTGTATGAGTTCTCATGTGGGTATCCAATCTAACTTTACAAATGAAGC